CCAGAGCCCAGCAGGTTGAGGCTGCGGTGGCCGGGGCCACCGCGCTCCAGTCTGGGCGACAGAGTGAGACTACAACTCAAAAAAAAAAAAGAAAAAGAATGAAAATTTATTCTGTTATAATTACATTCTTCCTACATAGAAGAATGCCTGTTTTCTTATTTATTTATTTATTTATTTTGAGTAAGAGTCTCACTCTGTCACCTAGGCTGAAGGGCAGTGGCACGCTCCTGGCCACCGCAGCCTCCACTTGTTGGGCTCAGGCGATCCTTCCACCTCAGCCTTCCAAGTAGCTGAAACTATAGGCACATGCACCACGCCTAGCTAATTTTTTGATTTATTGTAGAGATGAGGTCTCGCCAAGTTGCCCAGGCTAGTCTCAAACCTGTGGGCTCAGGCAATCCACTCACCTCAGCCTCCCAAAGTGCTGGGATTATGGGCGTGAGCCAACATGCCGGCTCTTTGTTGCTTTTTTTTAATTAATAAATGTTTTAGAGCAGTTTTAGGTTTACAATAAAATTGAGCAGACAGGATAAAAACCATCACTAGCAACTACTCCTGGAACCACTCTCAGCATGAATGTCAGGATGATATCTTTACAGTGACGGGCCTACAGCCTTTTAAGCTAACCATACATACCGTTCTTGAACAGCTTTGGAGTAAGCTCCAGCATTCAGTGTTTTTCTGATTAAGTCGCAGATGTGAGAGCTCTCTCCTGGGCATCGAGGGAGTCCAAAAACACCTACAGCAGTAGATGACAAATATCCATTCCTTCAATAATCACTTATCAAATACCTACTAGGTGCAAGGCCCTGTGAGACACAAAATGAGCGTGACCAGACCCTGATCTCATTTCTTTATTCCTCAAGAAAATAAAGCATAGGGAACTCATACTATAACCAGCTTCCTCCTGGTCCTCCCACAGTCTTTCCTGCCTAAGGACCTTTGCACCTGCTCATCCCTGGAGGATGTGCCGCTTCTCTTGCTGCATCACACGGCTGGCCTCATTCTCATCTCTCAGGTCTTAGCTGAGGGAAGTCGGATATGACCACCCTATCTCAAGCAGTGCTCATACCCTCCTCCTCCTCCCACTCATACTTCACCTTTGGCAACCGCATCAGCAACGTTTTTTTTTTTAAAGAATACACGGCATGGTTGTAAGCATGTATTGGTAATAATTAATTTAATCCTTATAACTACCCTGTGGAGCAGGCATCATTTTTTGCCCTATATCACAGATAGAAAACTTTAAAGTAGAGAGGTTAAAAATGTTGTCCAATAAGGGAGAGAACCAGGATTTGAACACAGGCGGTTTGGTTCCAGAGTCCACTACTTTAACCACTACAACCACTGGTGTGTCCCTCAAACAGTATCTTTTTTTTTAAAAGAGATAGAGTCGGGTCAGGCACAGTGGCTCAAGCCTGTAATCCCAGCACTTTGGGAGGCAGAGGCGAGAGGATTGCCTGAGCTCAGAGGTTCGAGATCAGCATAGGCAACATGGCACGACATCATCTCTACAATAAATTTAAAAAAAAAATTAGCCAGGTGTGGTAGCACATGCCTGTGGTTCCAGTCACCTGGAAGGCTGAGGTAGAAGGATTGCCTAAGCCCAGCAGGTCGATGCTGTGGTGACCGTGAGTGTGTCACTGCACTCCAGCCTGGGTGACAAAGTAAGACTCTGACTCTAAATAGATAGATAGATAGATAGATAGATAGATAGATAGATAGATAGATAGAGAGATAGAGAGATAGAGAGACAGACAGACAGAGACTCACTACTTTGCCCAGGTTGGATTGCAGTGGCTATTCACAGGTGCAATCATAGCACATCACAGCCTTGAGTTTCTGGGCTCAAGCGATCCTCTTACCTCAGCCTCCCGAGTGCTGAATCTATAGGTACACACTACCATGCTCAGCTAACCTCCACTTTAGCATGAAACATATACAGTATGTGTGGTATATGTATATATGTTTCATGAAGGCAGAGATTTTGTCTGTCTTGTTCCTGGTATATATAAGTTTTCAATAAATATTTGTTGAATGAATAAATAATACAGCTGTTTTGACCAAATTGCATTTGTATAATACTTGTACTTTTAAAAACCTTTCTCCTGCTGGGTGTGGTGGCTCACGCCTATAATCCCAGCACTTTGGGAGGCTGAGGTGGGAGGACTGCTTAAATCCAGGAGTTTGAGACCAGTTTAGGCAACATAGCAAGGCCCCTTCGCTACAAAAAGAATTTTTTTTTTTTGAGTTGGAGTCTCATTCTGCCGCCCAAGCTGGAGTACAGTGGCACCGCAGCCTGGACCTACTGGGTTCAGGCGATCCTTCCGCTTCAGCCTTCTAGATAACTGGAACTATAGGCATGTGCTACCACACCCAACTAATTTTTTGATTTATTGTAGAGACACAGTCTCACCATGTTGCCCAGGCTGGTCTCGAGTCCATGAGCTCAGGCAATCCTCTTACCTTGGCCTCCCAAAGTGTTGAGATTACAGACTTGAGCTACTGCGCCCAGTCAAAAAAATTTTTTTTAATTAGCCAGGTATGGTGGTGCATGCCTGTAGTCCCAGCAACTAATCTCTGATGATAAATTTATAAGCAAAAGGGCATATACACTATTCTTACCTAAACCTAAATTCAACAGGACATCACCAATATTAGAGGACAGGTCATCAGATTTTCCTAATTCCTCAAACACCACTTGCCATATGGATGTAACAATCTCACATCCATTAAGTTGTATCAATTGTATTGGAGTGAATTAGATGGCAACCTTATGACTCCGCTGTGTTGAGGCCTATGGAATCTTGTCTCTTCCTATGTCTCCATCAATGCTGGCTAGTTTGGTAAAATTAGAGAACAGGATTTGGCAAAGATGGCTCATTTTTTGTGTAAATAAAGCAGCTAGAATTTTAAAAATCAAGTGGTCATATGGTTTTAAAAACCAAGTGTTCATATTAGAATAGAGAAAAAAAGAGGCAAAGAAGCAAAGTTACCTTGATGTTGTCCTCCCACTGAAATCAGATTGATCATGGGAGGTGATGGGCATCTCTGAGCCACTGCCCTCCTGTGGAATAAAAGGGGTTATCAGCTCTGACTGTCAGATGGAAATGTATCATCCACAATCAGCTGTACAGATTAAGCTGATCCTCTGTGGTTCCCCAAAGCTGCAGAGTTTCAGGATTTTCCTCTAATACAGCCAAACTCCAATCTTTAAACTTTCAAGGGAAATACTTCAAAGTTCCATAAAGCTTCTTACATAGGAACATTTTAGAAAACTTCCCTTCCCAAGGTAGGTGAGGAACCCAAAAGAATAGGAGAAGTGGACACATTTTTTTTGAATAAAAGAAAAAAAAAATCAATTCCATGTAAGTGATATCATACAACAAAAAGGGACTTACAGAAATTGACCTCCCTGGGAGAACCCCATAGCATTATAGCCTTGCTGCAATTTAGGATCCTTAGTAAGAGTCTCACACACTGTTTTCACTTGGGAATTAACATTCAAGAAGAAGCTGTTTTCCACGTCCTAAAAACAGATACAGAGAGACAGAAGGATGGGACTGAAAACAACCACTGGCATATTCTCTAAGAGGTGAACCTGTTTAGGTAGGTATCCTCACATAAGCCACTGAAGGTTGCAAGTACCACTATATAATTTACTGCTAAAAACCAAGGTAGGCTGGGTGCGGTGGCTCACGCCTATAATCCCACCACTTTGGGAGGCTAAGATGAGAGGATTGCCTGAGTCCATGGATTTGAGACCAGCCTGGGCAACATGGCGAGACCTCATCTCTATAATAAATAAAAAAATTAGCTGGGCGTGGTGGTGTGTGCCTGTAGTTCCAGCTACTTGGAAGGCTCAGGCAGAAGGATCACCTGAGCCCAGTAGGTTGAGGCTGCGGTGGCCGTGAGCGTGCCACTGCACTCCAGCCTGGGCGACACAGTGAGACTCCAACTCAAAAAAAAACCAAAAAACAAGTCGGGCTCGGTGACTCAGCCTGTAATCCCAGCACTTCGGGAGGCTTAGGTGAGTGGATTGCCTGAGCCCACAGGTTTGAGACCTGCCTGGGCAACTTGGTGAGACCTCATCTCTACAATGAAATCAAAAATCAGTCGGGCGTGGTAGCGTGCGCCTATAGTTCCAGCTGCTTGGAAGGCTGAGGCAGAAGTATCGCCGGAGCCCAGCAGGTTGAGGCTGTAGTGGCCGGGAGCGGCCACTGCACTCCAGTCTGGGCAACAGAGTGAGATTCCAACTCAAAAAAAAAAAAAACCAAAAAAACCCACAAAATAAAGCCGGGCTCGGTGGCTCAGTCTGTAATCCCGCGCCTTTGGGAGGCTGAGGTGAGTGGATTGCCTGAGCCCGCGGGTTCGAGACCCGCCTGGGCAGTGAGACCTCATCTCTACAATAAATCAAAAAATCAGCCGGGCGTAGTAGCACGTGCCTGTAATTCCGGCTACTCAGAAGGCTGAGGCGGAAGGATCGCCAGAGCCCAGCAGGTCGAGGCTGCGGTGGCCAGGAGCGGCCACTGCACTCCAGTCTGGGCGACAGAGTGAGACTCCAACTCAAAAAAAAAAAACCCCACAAAATAAAGCACTTTTTAACAGTATATTCTATGAAACCAATCACCAAGCTTTCAAAGAGCAGTCTGTGAAAGGTCTTACCTCTATTAGGGTCTTTCCAATCTCTAAAGATAAGACGTAAATTCCAGGTATTTTCTTTTCAACCATTTTTTTAATAGCACCCATGCTCAAGGGATTGCAACAGCTGTCTCCTAGCCAACAAAGACAATGACAGAAACTTATGATCAAAACATTATTTAGTTCTTAAAAACCTTTGTGCCTCAAAGAACATTATCAAGAATGTGAAAAGACAACATACAGAATGGGAGAAAATATTTGTAAAACATACTGGGGGGGACCCCAAAAGCTGGAATTTCTTTGAAAAAATGTGTATTCATTCCTACATGTTTAAACTTTAGACACCTTCAAAGCACTCTCCATTTGATGCAATGCACCTAACGAAACACTTTTTCCACTGCTCAAAACAGTTTCTGAACTCATCAGTTTTGATGCCTTTTAGCGCTTCTGCTGTTTTTTGTTTCACTTCTTCCACATCGGTAAAACATTTCCCTTTAAGGACTTTTTTCATCCTGGGAAACAAAAAAAAGTCACTCAGAGTAAGATCAGATGAATAGGGATGGTGGGGCATGGAAGTCACACAGTTTTTGATCAAAAACTGCTGAACACTCAGCACAGTGTGGGCAGGTGTGCTCATAAATCAGCCATCATGAAATATGCAAATGAGTTGAAAGAATCTCAGCAACAGCAAAATTACCTGAAGCCAAACACAGCCTCTCACAACAATGCTAGCTGGTACACCGATACACTCACCTAATAGGGGAAACCTGTACTACACGGGGCCCACCCTCTAAAAGTTTATTCTGGTTTTATCTAGGCACCCCTCATATATCTGACAAAGGTTTAATATCCAGAAAATATAAAGAACACTTACAACTCAACAAAAAGACAACCTAATTTTAAAATGGGAAAAGGATTCAAACAGATATTTTTTCCAAAAAAGATACACAAAGGGCCATCAAGTATGTGAAAAGATGCTCAGTATCATTGGTCCTTAGGGAAATGCAAATCAAAACCACAGTGAGACACCATTTCACACCGACTAGGGTGACTTTAATAATAATTTTTTTTTTAAATAGAAAATATAGGCCGGGCTCGGTGGCTCAGCCTGTAATCCCGTGACTTTGGGAGGCTGAGGTGAGTGGATTGCCTGAGCCCACAGGTTCGAGACCCGCCTGGGCAGCGAGACCTCATCTCTACAATAAATCAAAAATCAGCA